AACCCCAAAATCACCCCAAAAACATCCTAAAATACCCCAAAAACTTCAAAATATGCCAAAAGCAACCCGAAATACCCAAAATGACCCAAAATCACTCCAAAATCACCCCAAAATGACCCAAAATACCCCAAGATTATCCCAAATTTTCCCCAAATTTTCCCCCCAAATTTTCCCCCCAAATTTTCCCCATTTTTCCCCAATTTTCTCAATTTTCCCAAAATTTTCCCAATTTTCTCAATTTTTCCCAATTTTCCCAGGGATGTTGGTGGTGAAGTTGGGGGGTCCCGTCTACAGGATCGGCGTGGGGGGAGGGGCCGCCTCCTCCGTCCAGGTTTGGGACAAATTCCCGCGATTTTGGGAAAATTTAGGAATTCTAGAAAAAAATGGCAATTTTGTCAAAAAAATGGGGGGGTTGGGGCATTTTAAATTTTTCTTTCAAATTTTTCGATGGATTTTTTGGGAAGGTTTTATATTATTTTATTATTTTTTGAGAATTTGGGGGGACTTTTGAATTCTTGGGATTTTTTGGAGATTTTTTTGGCATTTTCAGGATTTCTTCCAGAATTTTGGGATTTCTTTCCAAATTTAGGGAAATTTTTAGGGGATTATTGTGATTTCTCTCAGTATTTTGGTATTTTTTGGGGGGTTTAGGGATTTCTTTGCGAGTTCTTTCGTGATTTTTGGGATTTCCTTTGGGATTTCATGGTTTATTTTTTTTTTTAATTTTGTTATTTTTTCCAGAATTTTTCCAGGGATATGGGTTTTTTTGGGGGGATTTTGGGTTTTTTTTGGCAGGAATTCCACAATTTTGACCAAATTTCGGATTTTTGTCCCCAGGTGCAGGGGGACAGCGAGGCCGAGCGCGATTTGGGGGCGGTGCAGCGCGGGGACCCCGAGATGGAGCAGAAACTGAACCGAGTCCTGCGCGGCTGCGTCGAGAGCGGGGCCAGGAACCCCATCAGCTCCATCCACGACCAGGGGGCCGGGGGAAACGGTCAGGAATTGGGGCCAAAGTCGGGAAAAACGGAAAAAACAAAAAAAAAAAGAGAAAATTGGAGAAAAAAATAGAGAAATGGGGAAAAAATGGGGGAAAATGGGTAAAAATTAAGGAAAGATTTGGAATTTTTGAAAAGAATGGAAAAATTGGGAAACATGGGGGAAAATGGGAAAAATTGGAACAAAAGGGTAAAATTAGGAAAAATGGGGAAAAAGTTGGGGGGAAATCAGGAAAATTGAGGACAATTGGGATTTTTGGGGCCATTGTGGGGGCTGAGGGCAGTGTCTCGTGGTGTCCCCAATTTGTCCCCATTTTTCCCCATTTTCCAGGCAATGTTCTGAAGGAGATCTCGGAGCCCGCCGGGGCCGTCATCTACGCCAGCCGCTTCCAGGTCRGTGACGTCACCCATTTTKCCCAAATTTCCCCATATTTTCCCAATGTTCTCCTTTCCCCAAACCCGTTTTTTCCTGGGATTTTTTTTGCATATTCCAATGCCATTTTGGGGTGAATSTGTGCGATTTTGGGGCAGCTGGGGGACCCGACGCTGAGCGTGCTGGAGCTSTGGGGCGCCGAGTACCAGGAGTCCAACGCGCTGCTGGCCCGGCCCCAGGCGCTGGCGCTGCTGCGGCGATTGGCCGAGCGCGAGCGCTGTCCCCTCAGCGTGGTGGGGACGGTCACCGGCGACGGACGGGTGAGCCATTGGGGCGAAATCTCAGGATTTTGGGGAAAAATGGGGAAACATGCAGAAAACCGGGGGAAAATCGGTGAAAAATGGCAAAAATACGAGAAAAAATGGGGGAAATGTGAGGAAAATGTGGGAAATTGGGGAAATTGAATTTGGGACATTTGGGGTCACTGGGGACAATGGGGAAGAAATTGGGAAAAAACGGGAAAAATTGAGGAAAATTGGAGAAAAATGGGGGAAATTGGGGCGTTGGGGACATTGTGGAAATTGGGGAAAAAAAATGGGGAAAATTTGGGATGAATTTGGAAAAAGTGGGGAAAAAATTGGAGAAATAGGGGAAAATTGGGAAAAAGTTCAGGCATTGGCAACACTGGAAGGATTCGAAAAAATTGGGGAAAAATGGGAAAAAATGGGGAGAATTGGGGAGAAATGAGAAAAAATGGGGAAAATCAGGGAAWATTTCAAAAGTTGGGGAAAATTGGGGATTGGGGACATTGGGAAAACTGGGAAAAATTGGGGAAAATACAGAAAATTGGGGAAAA